AAAAAACCCTCTGGATGCACATCTGTTTCCAATATATCCTTGATTATTCTTTGTGAAGAAGGCCAACAATTCTGTTTCTATTTTGGAAAATGTCAAAGAAAACCTACTATAGTAATAATCTTCATTCTGAGAGACTCATGTGGTGTGCACAAACCCAGTGTGATCACAGCTGCTCCCTGACTCAGTCCTACTTTAAATAAGGAACAGCAATAGCACTGTCAGCATCTTGAGACGCAAGGCCAAATTCTCTTCACAATACATGGGCTGTGTAACTAGGGATTATCGATGGGGATGGTGCTCCCATGTGCAAGAGCAGACGGTGGCCTCTGGGCCATTTCAGCTTGCCCAGAGTTCGAGTGATTGGAAATCACACAAGAAACAAGCTTCTCAGTGCCCTCCCTGCAGACCAGGACTCATGTGAGGGGAGTCATGGGGCCTTCAAGGAAAGGAGCTTCAGCCCCTGCACCCTCGATGACCGTGACAGCTTATCCACTTTCTGCTTGAAGAGCTCCAAGGAAAGAGGGTCCCTGGCTTCTTGAGGGAGTCCACTCCATGTGTGGACAGTTAATTAGAAAATGTCTCTTTAAACTGAGCTGGTATCTGACTCTCCCCAGTTCCTCCCATTGTTCCTTGCTTGTCTTGAGGGGCCAAGCTGAGGAAGGCAGATGTGTCTTCCAGGTGACAGGCTTTCAAATCTTTGATGACAAACTCCATGCGCCCCCCGAGTCTTGTCTGGACTGACCATCCCCATTTCCCCTGGCATGCCCCCCCAGGCCCTTCTTCACTCTAGGTGTGCTACTCTACAGACTCCAACACGTCTGTGCACTTTCCTAAAACAAAGTACCTAGAACTGTAAAACAGGTATACTACAAAGGAGGTCTGATCAGGGAAGAATATAGCAGAGTATCCCCACCAGCTCCTTCTGCAGAAGCCTAAGACTGTACATGGCAGCTGGTGGCACTGTGGACAGATCACTGCACCGCAAATCAGGAAGACCCACGTTCAAAGATAGCCTCAGACACATACTAGCAGAGGGACTCTGGACAAGTCACTTAACCTCTGTCTGTCTCAGTCTCCTTAAGTATAAAATGGGAATAAGAACAGAATCTGCCTCCCAGGGTTGTCATGATGCTCAAATGAAATGTTTGTAAAGTGCTTTGCAAACCTTAATGAGCTATAAATGCTAACTATTATTGTGGTTATTATTATTGTATGTGTGGTCATGCCAATTGTGAGCACACAGCAGGTCAAACAGTGGCCTCTAAAAGGCACATTTATATCTCTACAAACTTTTCTGTATTCCACTCTTATACTCCAGTGATCTGAAATTTAGACAATGTGGGTCTTAGCTAACATCACTTACACACATAAAAACTCTTCTCCAATTTAGCAGAGCATCCTTGAGAGTTGCTAGGGCTGAAAAAGCCATCCCCTCCCAGCCAACCTAGGGATAAGGCTATTAGGATGTGGACAGAGGCATTGGCCCTGGGGCCACACTGGGAGCTTTGCTGCCTGGAGACAGCTGGCTTTGGAGCCTGCCCCAGGCCACATCCAGCCCACAATAAGACCAGGTAGGACTAAAGAAGGCAGGCAGGGAAGCTTCACATTTAGCCTGGAAATTCATTCTATAGGACCCTAACAGGGGTCATGGTCAGGCAGCACAGAGAGCATGCATTTTCACCAAGCACCAAATGGACCCTGCCATATTTCTCTCAACATCTCTCCACTGGAGTTGGCCAATCCATCATTATTGCCAACCTTCTCTCACAAAATCACATGTACTCATCAAGTACCAGTCACCAATGTGACCAAAAGCAAACAACAGACATTCTTTGCTATTCAAGACAAGACACAACTAATTTTTATAAGTGAAAATCCAGTACAGATCCATAATCACTTAGAAGTCTCTATGCACAGAAGCTGCCTTCAATATAACGACCTCTGGTGAAACGGGAATGTTGGATAATCAACAAGGTGAACAAGGCCTGTCTCATCTGGCTCAGGCAGGTGCCACAACTTCCCTCAAATTCTCTTGAGGGCCAAGCAGGAGCAATGATAGCTGCCCCTGTCACTGCCTGCCTTGGGTCTCTCCCCTCTCCAGAGCATCTTCCACTCAGCCACCAAGGAGACTCTCCTACAGCACAGGGTCACCAGGTCACTGCCCTATTCAACCAGCATCACATGTCCAGGAGCAGACACCAAATCCTCCATTTGGTGCTGACGGTCCTTGACCTTATGTCCCACTCAGCCCGACTCCATCTGTGAATGGAGTGGCACTGGCATCCTCGCTGTTCTCAAACACGACCTCCACTCCCTGACTCCAGGCATTTCCATTGGCCGTCCCCCTGCCTGGAATGTCCTTCTTCACCTCCTCTACCTCCTCACCGAATCCCAGCTAAACTCCCATCTGCTACGAGAAGCCTTTTCTCATTAGCCCTTGACACTGGGGCCTTCCCTGGGTCGATGACTCCTGATTTATCCTGTTTCTATCTTGTTTGTACCTAAGCTGTCTGCATATCATTTCCCCCGTTAGACTGTGAGCCTCCTTGAGAGCAGGGCCTGTCTTTTGCCTTTCTTTATATCCCCAGAGCTTAGTACACAGTAGGCGCTTAATAAATGTTTACTGACTGAATGGATATTGAAGTTCCCTAATATAAGGCAAGGAGTCAAAGGGGAGAGGAATATGGTGCCATTATATTGAAGGCAGTATGAACTGCTTGATAAAGGAGGAGTAATGACCTGGAGACCAGCAGACAACTGCCCTGACTGAGACCGGATGAATCATTTTGATTGAGTGGATTTCCAGGAAGGAGACATTGCTAAATGATAAAGGGAGAGAGAAAGTCTGGAACCGGCAGCAGGAGCAAGGAATGTTCTAACCTCCCTCTGGAGACCAGTATGTTGAAGGTCTGCATGAGAAGCTGTAGCCAGTGCCAGAGGAGATGCAATGGAGACCAGGGAAGCCAGGTCTCAGTGAGGGCCAGCAGATGGAAGCTGTGTGAGAGGGTCAGGATGAAGGGAAGTTTGTTCATTATGGAATCAGAATTCCAGAGGGCACAATGCAGGCAGCAGGCGGGGTGGGGGGGAATGGGACGTGAACAGGGAGGGTTAATGAGGATGGCAATGAGATAAATGGGCTTGGGAACTGGGGGAAGCTTTCTTCAAAATGGCTGCTGGTTGATTAATACACAGATAGGCAGAGAAACAGGAAGTGAGAGACTATTAAACAAAAGAAGAATCGTGGGTGTGATTTGAACAGTAAAGCTTAGTCTCCAAGGGGTGGTACCGAGGGCTCTGGTCTGGACCAGTCTCTGCCTGCAGCTGCAGCTATCTTAACTCTTAGGTAGTTGTAGGTAGGGGAAGGTATGGGGGGAGGGGAAGGGAACAGGCAATGGTCTCCAGTGGTAAGTTGGCATACTATTGTCCTTCAAAGACCCTATATGCCAGCCAATCTGTATTATGACCCCTTCATCTCTCGCCTCTGTGTATTTACACACACTGTTCCCCATGTCTGAAACACATTACACACTGCCTTTCTCATCTCTGCTTTTTGAAAACATTGACTTCCTTCAAGGTTCCACGAAGGTATTGTCTCCTGATGTTTGCCCTGATCACTCCCAAGCCCCAAACCATCACTGATGTCCTTCCTCAAATTCCCTATAACTATTTATACACACCCATCTGCTCCCCCAGAAGAAGAACGTAAGCTTCCTGAGGGCAGAGACTAATTTGGTTTTCTCTTTGGCTCCCTAGGACCTGGCAAAATGCTTTGCACAGCAAGCACTCAATCCATGTTGCCTGATCCATTCCAGTGACTGCTCCCAAGGCTAAGCCTGGCAGGGTCAAGCACCCCAGAGAGCCTCTCTGCTCAGGCTGGCACCCGCCATCTCTCGCAGGATCACAGGACCCCCACCCTTCTGGATGAGGTTGCTCAATGGCACATCAGAACATCTTAGAGCAAATTCACACGGAATCACCTCGGAATAAACTCTCTAATGAGGTAGGCAAGGCTGATGACACGAATTACAGCACAGAACTAGCAGTCAGGCTCCACAAATGAAGCAATTCAATTACAGAAACACAGACCCTGAATTTATAAGCAATAATAGAATTCTGGTTCCCAAGTGACTTAAGTGGGCCGAGCATAACTGGATTAGCAAAGAAATAAGGGAACTAGTGCTGGGGCTGCACTTTATTCTGCTGCGGGCTACAGCATCCATTCTCTCTCGAAAATGCACACATTATAATAAGCAAATGTAATAATGGTAAAAAAAAAAAAAACTTTTTAAAACCAATTATTTGGATTTGGGCAAAATTAATATGATGCTGTCCATCAATGAACAAGGCCTAACAATTAAAAACAGGCCTATAAGATGGCAGCCCCCACAGCACACACCTGGAATGTCCAAACCGCCGCAAGGGCCGTGGAGCTAGACTAGAAAGCAGACGAGAATCTGGCTTAGAACGCTCACCCTCGGCCCCCAAGCCTCACCTGAGGGCACTTCACACAAGTGGGTCACAGTAGGAAGTCTGGAAAACCTACACAAGGAATGACTCCCAAGCAGAGCTGAGGAGACTTGAATGGGGGGGCGTGTTGGGGTCTTTCCCTCCCTGCCCCAATATTCCCCCAAACACATCCAACCACCAAAAGGACAACAAGGGGTACATCTCTTCCAAGTGGGAGGGAAGACAAAGGGTGATGACTTCATCCTTTCCAATCACCCCACCTTAGCAGTACTAGGTTCATTTCAAGACTATTACTCATCCACAAAAGGATTTTGGAGCAGTCATATTTAGGCTTAAAACAATGAGCATTTTAGCTCTGTCTTGTTATTGGAGCCCAAGTGCCGAGTTGCACGCAGTGCATCACCTGTGAAATTCTGCTTCTTTTTATGAAACTAGGCACGAAGCAGTCACCTTCTGGGCAGGCCCCAGAGGTCAGACTCGATGCAGAGAACCCCACGCCTCTCCTTTAATGGACTTGTTCTTCTCGTACTTACCCTCGTAGAAGCTTGAAGAGCATACACCCCAAAGAGAACCAGTCGGCGCTGCTGTCGTACGCGGTCCCCTTCTGGAGCACCTCGGGAGCCATGTAGCCATGGGTGCCACTTTAGGAAAGACAGACAGACAGACCGCAGGATCAGCACATGTTATGGCCACAGTAAACTAATCACAGAGAAGCACATTCTCTATTAACTGAAGGTACTTGGGCAAAAAGACAACAGAAAATTAGTGTTTGTGATTTTGGTCATTCCTCCACAGCTAGCTGATGAGAACAAGAAAATGACCATGTAATTGTACACCTGAAGCAAAGGGCCTGCTCTCTGTGGGCGATGAATAAGTCACTAAGTCTTCTCAAACAGTAAATATGAAAGCCTCTGTCTCTGCTAAAAAAAAATACACTAATAGAAAAAAGGCAGCTGGGTTTAGGTGAGGGGTCAAACATGGTGAAAGAACAACCAAGCAACTGAGTCAAGGCCTGGAGACGCCACCTTAGGTGGCAAGAGGTCAGTTCACGCGTTTTTGGACTGCCTGGCAACATCTATGACCAGCTAGAGAGTCGAGGAAAGCGAGAGAAGCCACAGGAGTTAGAAAAGGCAAGAGAACAGAGAAAATGGAGAGCATGGCTGAGGTCCCAGGGAGCAGCAGCAGCAGGGCTGTGGCAGAGGGGCAGCCCAGGCAGAAGCAGGTAATGAGAGCCAGGCCACTAGGCGTGCCCACTGACTGAACAAAGGCCATGCCCTCAGAGTGAGGCGGTGCACAGAAGCGGTGGCAGGAGGCCGCACAACCCACGCCTCCAGTTCAGCAGTCACCAAACAGCATTTCTCTCCTGTCTGTGGTGGGAAGGAGAGGACTGGGGGTGGGAGTGGTCTGCATGCCCCTCAATACTGTAGCCCATCAGGGGAGGGAGAGGGAAGAGAAAGGGGGAGAAAACCTCCCCCAGGAAGCCCCAGGCCAAATTCTTGAAAGAACACAAGATGCTTCTTCTTCTGTTTTATAAACAAACCTAGACCAGGGTGAGCTGATCTGGAGGTGCTCATGGCTATGTGGCTGGGTCCTCATCCTGGTCCTCTCCCTCCCTGTCTGACGGCTTCTTCTCAGTCTCTTTTGCTCATTTTTCTTCCGTGGCCCTCCCCCTAACTGTGGGTTTTCCTTCCTTAGAGCTCTGTCTCAGGCCCTCTTCTCTTCTCCCTCTACATTCCCTCTCTCAGTCACCTCAACAGCCACCATCTTGATTTAGGTGACCCCCAGATCAATCTATCAAGGCCCAGTCTCTCCCCTGGGCTCCAGTCCTCCATCACCAATTCCCTATGGGATATTTCAAATTCAGCGTCCCAGAGATTCACTATCTTTCCCCTCAAGCCCCTCCCTTTTCCAGACTTCTCAATTTCTGTCAAAGGAACCAGCATACTTCCTATCTCCACACATTACCCTGGCATCCTCACTCCTACTCACCCACACATCCCATCGGTTTCCAAATCTAGTTTCTACCCGCACAACACCTCTCACATCCAGCTCCCGCTCTCTACTCACACAGCCACCACCCGCGTCCAGGGCTTATCTCTTACCCAGAAGGACTGTAATGGTATCCTCTATTGATCTCTCTGTCTCCAGTCCACACTCTGGTCCATCTGGCACACAGCTCCCACTATGCCTTTGGGTTAGTGTAAAACCTAGCCACTATTCCCCTGCTCATCCAATTCTATTGGGTTCTTATTGCCTCTAGGATGAAACTTAAACTTCTTTGTTTAGCTTTTAAAATCTTTCAAACCAGGCCCCAACCTAGCTTTCCAGCCTCATCAGACCTAACTTCTGTCCCACAGAGAGCTGACCCATTTCTGTGCCCTTGCTCTGGCCATTCCTAGGCTCAGAAGGCCCCCCCTCATCACCTTCAGAAGGTACCTGTGTCCCGTCCACTCGAAGCCTTCCCTTCTCCATCACTCATCCCCCACATCAAGCTGCTGCTGCTGCCTCCTCCCTATCCCCTCCCCAGTCACCCAGGATTTCACCCTTTCTTATCCATCTGTGTTTAACTGCTTCATACTGATTCATTTTGTATTGTTTTACTCTATATTTGGTTACTGACTTTACTTGTTTAAATAATAATGTCCTTGGATATTAATGTAATTTAACATGTATTCGTTTTCTCCCCTAATGGGACAGAATCTCCCCTGTAGTCCGGATGCCTTCCTTCTTTGTACTTTTATCCCCAGTGGCCATCACCGAGTTTGACTGATAGTGTCAATGACGCAGACAAACAGGATGTTTTGTTTTGTTTTTTGTTTTTTCAGGCAATTGAGGTTAAGTGACTTGCCCGGGGTCATACAGCTAGTAAGTGTCAAGTGTTTAGTCTGAGGCCAGACTGGAACTCATGTCCTTCTGAATCCAGGGCCGGTGCTTTATCCACTGTGCCACCTAGCTGCCCCCCAGGATAATGTTTTAAATGGGGCCAACAGGTCAAAGAACACTCAGAGCAAGGACTGGTTTTCTGGAGAAGGAACATTCTGTTTGAGCCTTTCATTTGCTAGTTAATTTAACGAGAAAGTCAGCCAAGATGCATCCGGTGTGGAGGAGCTGGCTTCCTGGGGGGCATGCCAGGCTTCACTTGGCGGATGAACAGAGTGCAAGATGAAACCAAGGACTTTGGCCAGGAAGTGAGCTCCAGGCCCACTGGGCTGAGCTCGCCACATCTGGTCTTCGGGCCTCATGTCCCTTTGACTAGACCATCTTCAGCACATCTGAGAGTAAGCAGGCACCTACCAGAAGAGGCGTCATGGACAGATAATCAGATGAGAAGGCAAAGTTTGGGACTGAATCTCCGCTCCATTAATTCAGTGCCTACCAGCAAGACCTGGGCCAGTTACTGGGCCTCGGTTTTATCATCTACCTCTAAAATGTGGGGACTGGACTTGATTGTACCTATGGTTTCTTTAAATATTAAAATAATAATCCATGCTAATTTCTGCACCGTGCAAAGCAAATGACTGACGTCCAGTCATTTGATATGTCCCTATATAAGCACTGGGATGACAGAGATATAGCAACTCAAAGGGTTAAATAACAGGCACATTATCTGAAAATTAACTAGGAAGTATTCTGTACCAGAGATTTCTATGGAAAAGTTGAAAAAAAAGGTTCTAGCACTGAACCAGTTAACCCTCAGCTAACCTAACCTAATGGCAGCTACATGTCCCAGCGAATGGAGACCTGGAGTTTGAATCGTGCCTCTGACACACAGTTGCTGGGTGACCCTGGGTGAGTCACTTCTCTTCTGTCTCAGGCTCAGTTTCCTTATCCGTCACATTAGAGGGTTAGGGTCCAGAATGCCTGATCAAGGAGGCCACTGCAAGCGAGGCCTGGCCATTGTAAACTGGTAGAGATGTGTCCAGTCTGTGCTGGGTCACTTAGCCCTGCCCACATTTTCTTCAGCTCTGACAGATGATGATGATGATGATGATGATGATGATGATGATGCTCCTTTCTCCCCCACAGCTGCCCAAGTGAGGCTCCCAGCAGGCATGGGTGCTGTAAAGCACCATGTCTGTAACTGCCTGTGACCAAGCTCTGCATCCTGGTCCACAAGTGAGGGGCAGGGGGAAGAGGGGAGGGGGATTTTTTCCTTATCTTTTTTGAGAGTTTAGGCCAGGGGTGGGGAACCTACAGCTTCAAGGCCACATGTGGCCTCTAGGTCCTCAAGTGCAGCCCTTTGACGGAATCCAAACTTCACAGAACAAATCCCCTTAATAAAAGGATTTGTTCTGGAAAACTTGGACTCAGTCAAAAAGCCACACCTAAGAACCTAGAAGGCCACACGTGGCCTTGAGGCTGAAGGTTCCCCACCACTGGCTTAAGCAATAGGGTTCCCTAGAAGCCATGGGGCTAGAGGAGGTGAGCTCATCCCTCAGAGGCTCTAATTCTAACGTTCAAACAGGTGTCGATATTTCAGGGCAAAGAAAACAAGCTGACGCAGGCACTCCAAGGACCTTGTTTTCTGGGCATACAGTTAATGAAAGATGCTGGTGGCTTACTTCCAGCTGCCCCTACCCACTGGGGATCCAGGTGCCCATCAGCCGCTCCTCTCTACCTCTGCCGTCGTCACCTTGTTTCAGCTTTAGTCCATGCTCCTAAAGGAATAACTGACAATGGTGGCCTGGACCAATGAATGAAAAGTCACTTATTTAGGACTTCGGGTGGGCAAAGCATGGTAGTACATGACATGAAATGATGTGACCCGAGGCAGAGCTTTAAAGTGAGGTCCTGTCATGACTAGTCATTTTTAATCTGCTTGACTCTCAAGTTTTCTTTTTATTGTCAAATGTTACTCCAAGAACAATTCTTGGTTTTACTACATTTCTCCAAAATATCATCAAAGAGTTAGTCACAAATCATGAGGCAAGAGCTTTAGGTTGATGAGCAGAGACACAGTTATGTGATTGGCCTTGCCCAAGGACAGTGTCCAAAGCCTCACCTCTGTACCTTTGAAAGGTTTCAAAAAAGAGAAAATGCCAAGGTAGATTCATAGCCTAGGTTTAAGTCTTCATGTAGGACAAAGAGATGGCTTATTTGAGAATTTTTGTTCAACCATTTTTAAATCGCATCCACCTCTTCGTGGCCCCATTTAGGGTTTTCTTGGCAAATATAATAATGTAGTAGTTTGCCATTTCTCTCTTCCAGCTCATTTTACAGATTTGGAAACTGAAGCTAATAGGGTTAAGTGATTTGCCCAGGGTCATCCAGCTAGTGTCTAAGGTCAAATTTGAACTCAGGTCTTCCTGACTTCAGACCCAGCACTCTCCCCACTGTGCCCCCTATTTTAGAATAAGGGACTTCATTTGCTCAATATTTTCATTGCCTTGCATATTATTTTTCAAGTAACCGATTCACTGGAAATTGCCATTAAATCAAGCCAATCAACTGTCCCTATTTTAAACGAGCCGTTAGGGTAGGTACAATTGTGTGCTCTTGGAATCAAGAGAGGAAAAACAGCCATGGTTTCAGAACATTAATCTGCCTTTTAAAAGTGATGTATATCAAGTAATGAGCAGACTAGTCACTTCAACTGAATAAACTATTTCATCTCCTAGAACTTATCCCTTTGGGAGAATCATTAATTCTCTCTGGGCCTACAGTAACGTGATCATAACCACACCAAACTAGAGAAATTATATCAGATAACTATGGTTTGAAAAGGCCAAATCAAACTCCCAAACCTAGAGAACTCCCTGGTCACAATGTAGTCCATGATAAGTTTGGACCCAGGAATCATAAAATACTATAAAAATGCCAACACGGCTATCACCCCCACCGAGTTCTGCAGGAAGTGGGGGTCCTCATTTATTCAGATTCAGTGAAAGCTCCCAGCCATTCTGATATAGGCATAGCTCCATGTATGCTCACAAGAGTCTGCAGAGTCATAGAACACCTGCGTCCCAGCTCTGCCTCGGAGACATCCAGACTCGCTCCTGGGCAGTCACTGAAATGCTCCACGGCCGAGGCACCATCGAGGCCTCTGCGACCGGGTGATGCTAACTGGAACTGCTAAGAGGAAGGTTTCTCAGTCCTGTGGAGAAGACAGGCCCAGGAGTGTGTGATCCCTGTGATCCCTGGCCCCCTAGATTTTGGAGGGTGACTTAGAGGCCCGTTCAACTCATCACAGAGGAGCATCGATTCAACTGCTGGAGGGTTAAAGGCATGAAAATGGTAAAAATGTGGGGAAATCTGGGAATGGGCTTGAGCCTATGTGCTCCTGGATCAGAGGCCAGCCCTCCACCCACCGTGCCATAGGCCTCTCCTACACAGAAACAGACAGAAATCAGAAAGAAGGAGACAAACCAAGCAGAGAAAAATAGAGCTGGGAGCGTTGAGATAGTGAGAGCTCAAAAGATTATTTTAAAAACCATGTTAAGTGCTACATTATAGCTACCTATTCAATAACCCAGTAAATATCAGTAACCCAGATATTTAAAAAGAAAAGCAACCCCGCAGATAATGTAGCAAGCATCGGTCTTTCACAAAACTAAATGTGGATGGCAAGGCCTGGCATCTGGGGGAGACTCTGTTGTGCAAAGTGCTCTGTGGGCAGTATTGCATTTGACATTCACACCACACCCATCAAGGAGGTATGTCAGCACTTCTCCCCACTTTCTGAATGAGGATATTGAGTCTGAGTGAGGCTGGATGACTTGATGACCTACCGTCTATACCCTTGGCTGCCACCCACACCGCTCGCTACCACTGTAAGATTCCTAAAGCACAAACGTGGCCGTGTCTCTGCCTGAAGCAGGAAGAACCCTCAGCTCCTCCTCCGACTCCTAGCACCAAACACAAGTTGCTCTTGGAGGCCTTTTCACAGACTGTCCGCCACACCAGGATGCTCTCCTTGCTCATCCGCCTCCTGGCTCCCCCGCTCCTGCCAGCAGCCTTTCCCAGGCCCCCTGGATCCTAGACTTAGATGCTTCGTTCTAGGAGGCCCCCAATTTATCCTGTCTCCATCTTGTTTGTACATAACTGCAGGTTGGATGAAAGGAAAAGACATTAAGGACTTGGGATGAGGGAAGCCCCCACTAGCCTCTGAGCTCCTTGAGAGCAGGCATTGTCTTCTGCCTTTCTTTGTGACACGGTACCAGGCACACAGCAAGCACCTAATAAGTGCAGCTGACTGAGCGGCATCCAAAGCCTTTCTCAGCCTACCTCCAAACTGCCATCTTGTCTTATCTGCACTGCGGCCAGCCTGCCTTCTGCCTGCCCCCACACAACATGCTATCCCCCTTGCCCACGGCTCACTCGAGGCCCAGGATGCTCCTGGTTCTCCTTTCCACCACTCAGAATCCTCTCCTGATCCCCCAACAGCCAATGTCTCCTACTGAAATCAGTGGCTATTTTGTACATACTCTGCATATACTTCTATGTGCATATGTCGTTGCCCCAGCAAAATGTAAGCTCTTTGAGGACAAGAATTGTTTCTCATCCACATCCCTAGTGATTGCCCTGGTTCCTGGCACATAGATGGTGCTTTAAAAGGTCAGAATCTGAACCCAAGTCCTGTGGACTCCAAGGCCATCACTCTGCCCAGGGTCCCACACTGTCTCGTGAATACCAACTCCCATAATTGACATTCACGCTGTACATCTATCATCTCACTGAAGTCTCTCAAAGACCCTGAAAAGTAGGTAATACAGGTACACATACACACATATGCACATGTGATTTGTGATGCACATATAAATGTGCACATGTACACACATACATATATGTATACAGACTCCTGTGTGTTTATAGGGAGTTCCCTGATACCAGAGAAATCTAAACAAATCACAAACCACTTTACAAGCCTACTTTCTAACACACTGAGTCCTAATAGTCAAAATTTAGTTTGAAAGAAGGAACCAGCTCTGTAGCAACCAGCTCTGGCACCATCCCCTGGAGGCCAGAGCAAACAGGTGCTCTACCATCAGACAACATGGTGAGGGCCGGGCTGTGCACACACACTCACACACACACACACACAGGATGGGGGTCTGAATGAAGCAAGCATCTTCCCTTCTTTCCCAATTAAAAGAAGCACGTTGGCTTTAGGAAGGTAGAATTTGCCAAAGACTGAAATGGCCTGTGGATCAGCATTCTCCATATTTATGCCCTTTAATTTTATTTTGGAAAAGTTCTTAGAAGAAAGAGAAAACACCATGGAGACGCAGTAAAATCCCATGCTAAGTCACGTATTTCCTTCTCTGTTTCGCCAGATGCGGTAATGCTGGATGTGCTCCCCACGCACAGTGATGCTGAACATGCTGATGCTCCAGAGGTCCTGACTCTGTGAGTGTGGGCCCTCCCTTCACCAACGCACATCACCACCAAGCTAAACACAAGCAATGACAAAACCAGCAAGCCTCTGGGTTGCGGCCTTTCTGGCCAGGCACTAGACTCGGGCACACGCGCTTTTCTGGACTATCATGGCTTAAAAAAACCTTCGCCCGGTGGTCTAAGATCTGGGGAGGAGCTTAACTGAGCAGGGTCTGGGAAGACAGGCAGGTACCCAGTCAGTCCATCTCCAGACCCATCTTCAAAGCCTTCTGAGTTTTAGTAGAACATATTTCTCTTAAATACAAAACAGAACCTACAATAATAATAATGATCATAACGCTACCTTGAGGTAGGGTTACACAGCATTTGAAAAATTATAAAATGTCCCGAGTAAAAAGCAGGTAAAAAAAATGGGTATTTGAAATTCCATTGTAGAAAAGCACGATTTGTCATTAATGATAGAACAGATGTGTCTGTAATACTTACACACTAGCATGTGGTTTCTTTTTGGAAAAATCGCAGGCAAGCCCAAGATCTGATATCCTCACATGTCCATATTCATCCAAAAGGATATTGGCAGGCTAGATATAAACACAGAAAGCAACACTTATACACCCTCGCCAGCTGTGGAAGCTTCTCACGGGGCGGCAACACCAACACTTCACTCATGATGGGCTCCACGGTGCTGTCAGACTTGGCATCCCCCAGGCCTCCATCAGAACTCAATGCTCTCTAAAAAAGATTAAGGCAACAACTGCTCCTGCCAATCACAAAGGAGCCCTCCTTCCTTAGGTCTCATACATGAAGAGAAATGCAGAGAAAGGGCCGACATTTAGGCAGTACGTCAAGTTTGGCAAAGGGCTTACTGTACATTCTGTGTTGTGCCTGAGCCCCACAAAACCACGTAGGGAATGGAAGAGAGACATGAATTTATTCCCATTTTCCAGATGAGGGGTTCAGGGAGGTCCAGTGACTTGTTTATGGTCACAAAGCTGATAAAGGTTGGAGGGCATGCAGCCTATCTTACTGATGGTTCTATCTGCCTCAGTGAGACAGGTGCTTCACCACAACCTACATGTCTGTTGAAATTAATTTAGAAGAAAAAGTGGCACCTGAGGAAAAATAAGATCCTCTCGAAAAAGCCAAGCCATCTGGCTCATCACTTAGGTTCCTTTGGCAGGTAACCAGAGTAACAGGTAGGAGTCAGAAGACCCAAAGTAGCACCCCGCTCTGCCACTTATAAAACCGTGACCTAGAAAAGGTCACTGACCTGCTTTGGGCCTCAGTTTCCTCTTCTGTAAAATAAGGGGACTTGACTACATGATTTATAAGGTCCCTGCTAGTTCTAAATCATTTCATCATTTTTTTATAGGGTTTCATCAGACTTGGGGGGAAAAAAACTAGACAGAGAACAACAGAGTTTTCAACTCTTGAGGGTCAAAAACTATGCCCTTCTTCGCACATAGTACAGGGAAGGACTGCTGAGAGGGATTTTACAAATGGCACCTCACAAATGTTAAAGAAATACAATTTCGGGACAAAGGACCCCAGAGTATGCCGTTGTTCTAAACTAAGCCCAATACACTGGGCTAGCAGCCATTTGTCAATCCATCTTCAACTGAATCACAGGAACAGTCAAGCAGAATGCAGACTACCTTTCTGGCAAAAAAGGAACCCACGAACATCAAAACAGATCATAACTCATGAAGGAAAATCAACTATCTCTTTCCTCCACAAAGAATTACAGCTGGGCTGAGGAGCTGTCCGCCAGGGATCAGCTACTGTTTCACATGCCGTAAGAACAACACTGTACGATGACAAAAAATGAGGCATGAATAATTCTTAGTAGTTAGAACAAAATTTGAATACAAATTGATTAATTCACACTCCTTCTAAAAAAGTCTTCAAAATCAAATAAAGTAAAATATGTCCACTCAATACCTGTTAGGGATTTCAATGAGAAAAATGGACTCTTTGGAGTAAGAAGGGACTGTTCAGAGGTCTAGTATAAGCCCCTTCTTTGAGGGAGGAGAAAATGGAGGTTCAGAAAGTTAGCAATCCCTAGCCCAAAGTTACACACGGAGTGCAGAGCGCCGGCCGCCGTGGCCTCCCAAGCAAGGGCTCTGGCCGTGCAGCACGCTGACGTGCTCCTCACTTAGCACTCCTCATTCTGCTTAACAATGACACACCTGAACGAAGCGCATCTGCGACCACTGGAAAGTTCTCTCTAGAACATCGCCATCGACAAGCGTGTCCAGGCTTGGTTATTGGCAAGGAGGGCCTCCAAGGCCATCCCGGCCCCCGTGAGTCTGATTAGTGCTGCTGGGGCAGAGATGCTGGACATGGAGAAGATTCGGCATCAAACTCCAAACATCTTTTTTTGTCCTGTATGAAGCCACTTAAGCTGGCCAAGTAAATGAAATCAGTGTTTTTAAATGATTACCTTCAAATCTCTGTAAACCACAAAACGGTTGTGCATGTGCTCTAAGCCCAGGATGATTTCGGCAGCATAGAACTTCATTTCCTTTTCAGAAAACACCCCGTGCTGGGAGAGGTGATAGTGCAAATCTCCCCCTAAAATCAGAGGCAGAATTTCACTCAAAGGGCTTGGATTTAGAGGAAGTACAAACAGCCACAAGCCTAACTGGTCCTTGCCACCATAAGAAAACCCAACACAGAGCCAATCTGTGACTTCTAAGGATGAGAAGCGTCCACTTGAAAAGAGCATCAACCAACCAACCAGGAAGCATTTCTTGGCTACACGCATGCCAGGCACTGCGCAGTGGGGATACAGAAACAAAAAGGAAACAGCCCCTGCCCTTTGGGAGCTTACACTCTACCTGGGGAAATAGCGCGGACAGATGTGAGTCTAGATGAAACGTAAACCAAATCAATATGAGGTCACTGGGAGGGCAGACACTAACTAGTCAATGAGCCCTCCTGGAGGAGGGGCACTTGAGCTGAGCTCTGAAAGAAGACAGAGATTCTGAGACAGGGGACCAAAAAGTCCTCTCAGGCCCGAGGGACGGCCCATACAAAGGCATGGAAATGGGAAAAGTGAAAATCCAACTGTAGATGAAGGGGTCTATTCAGAGATGCAAAGAGAGGGTTAAAACAAGAAAATTGTCCTTATCAAGGACACTGGGAAAAACTGAAGTCAGCCCTAATGTAAACTAAATAACAAACCAGATTTACCATTTACAGACTGGTAGTGGAATAAATGTTATCATTATATGGCTGACTCAATTCTATCGCTTTGGTTATTCCAGTCTATTAATTTTAATAGTTAAATGAGATTACACGGCAATCCAATAGATCGCTTAGCAATTAATTGTTATGGCAGATGAAAAAAATCAACTAATACTATATCACATCATAGAGATATCAATCAGGTTTAAGAATAAGAAAGCCCATATGTACGACAAAATCATCAAGTTGATTGACTTACAGGAATTAACATGTGTTAATTTTGGTGACTTTATTTTACAAATTACTTTTCTTCCCCACTCTCTTTTCATAGCAAGGCATATATTTTTTATTTTGAAAAATCTAGTCACTTCCCCAACTGACTCATTAAAAAAAATACCAATTTCTTCCACTGGTTTCCAGCCCCATCTCTCTCTTCTCAGTCCCTGGTGGGTGAAATCCATAGCTGACGTTCAGCTCGTGGTCACTCGACACTCCATTGTCTGATCATCTCTGATGTCCACAGCTGACCAAGCTCCTTCTTTGCTCACAGTTCTCCTTTGTTCTGTCTAACTTCTTCTACACACTTACCAAACTGCCCTGGACCTTTACCATGTGCTCCTTTTCCTTTTTCCCTCCTCCAAATTCAAAGCCTTGATGCTGATGGTAGGGAGCTTTACATCTCTGTATCCCCAAGGCTTCATATATCTTATGCACAAAGGATGTTTGATGAATTGAATAGTTCAGATATAAAAAAAAAAACTATTAACATACATAGGCTGTTTGGGTTCACCACATTTTTTGCTGAGGTAGAAACATTCTTTATAGGATATCCTTTTTTCTAGGCTGTCTGATGAGTTGGATCAGTAAACCAAATGGTTTTTCAGTAATCTCTGTCTCATGGATTTCATTCCAAGTCATTCGATGACTATTCTCAGCCCCAATGATGTGGGGAGTATGAGATGTCTTCACTGACAAGAGAAAACACTCTAGGAAGTGGGTTTTCAATAATCTCTCATATTAGCTGGGTTTTTCTGGTCATTGGTCTTTGAGTTGAGTGCCAAGGTCAAAATCTAATTGATGTTTTCACTTAAGTGGATTCATATTCATCTGCGTTTTATCAGGTATAATTTTATAAAAATTATTTTCAAATGTTCACTTATTGGGATGGGGAAAGGAGTGCAGAGAAAATTTTAAAATGTGCTATTTTATCTAAAATTCAGAGTATTAAGGCAGCACAGAATAGTGGAGAGTGTACTGGACTTAGAATCAGGAATACCTAGGTTCAAATGTCACCTCAGATACTTTCTAGCTCTGTGGCCTTGGACAAGTCACTTAACCTGTTTGTCTCAGTTTCCTCATTTGTAAAATAAGCTGGGTGGACTTAATGACTGCTAAGTTCCCTGCCAACTATAAAGCTACGGTCCTTCTAGCTATAATGCTATGAGTTAGAATTCTGTGGCTGTTGTTTTTTAAATACTGCCTTTCTCCTGGTACTCTTCCTACCTATCCCATTATTCCTCAGTTTCCTGTTTTGGCACACATCACACCCCCAACCACATTAGCTCCCATGGATATTAACTGTCATGTCCATGCAGGTGACTCCCAGATGTAAATATCCAGCCCTGGCCTCTCCCATGGGCTTCAGTCCCACGTCACTATTTGCCTAGTGGACATCAGAGACTGGACGTCCCATAGACACCTCACACTCCTCATGTCCAAAACTGAACACATTTTCTTTCCCCCTCAAAACCTTCCCTTTCCAAACTCCCCTCATCCTTCTGGACTCCCGGATTGGTAACTTGACCCGTGACCTCTCACCCCAACTTTGAACAGTTGCCAAATCTTGCTGCTTCTACCTTCACACCACCTCTCGTATCTTACTCCTCCTTTCTACTCACAATTGCTGCCTGAGTTCGGGCCTCCATCACTTCTCAACTGGATCACTCCAACAGCCTCCTAGCTGGTCTCCCTGCCTGAAGCTTCTCCCTGTGCCAGCCCATTCTCCACACAGCTGCCAAAGGAATTTCTCCTGAAGTACAGATCTGACCAGATTACTTCCCAATTCAATCAGCTCCAATGGCTTCCTGTTGCCTCTGGTGTCAAATAGAAAGTCCTTAATCTGGCTTTCAAAGACATTTACAATCTGGCTTCAACTTCCTGACATTGTCAATGGACACTACTTCCCTTTCCACACCCGTCTTCTTTCTGCAACTCAGAAACAATTCTCCATTTTCCACCTCCGTGCCTTTGCATCCAGCCATCCCCAAGTCTGGAATGCTCTCGCTCCTTTCCTCTGCCTCAGAAAGTCCCTCTCTTCCTTCCAGAAGCAGTTCAAGCACCACCATCTATGTGAAGCCTTTCCTGACTCCCCACCCCCACCAACTGCTACTGCCCGCCCTCCCAAACTACCTTGTATTTAAATGCTTTCCACATATTTGTATTGATTCACTTCACACTGGCGCTGTCTGTTTTTATACGGTCCTGTCTCCTCTGTGGAGAACGTAAGCTCCTCTTGGGCAAGGAGTGTCTGATTCTTTGTACTTGTATCCCCAGTGCCATGCACAATAATGAAGGCACCCCTGGTGGACCCAAAGAGCCCAAAGTATCCAGGAAGTTCAAGGCCCCAGATCCCAGCGGCCGTGCCACACCCACCCCTCCAGCTTTGCTTACCATTCATCAAGTCCAGGATGAAGCACAGCTTGTCAGGGGTATGGAAGGCATAGGTCATACACACAATGAAAGGGCAATCCTAAAGGGTTCAAAATAAGCCAAAAGGTTAGCAAGAGGAAAGCAAAAGAAAGCCAAAAGAACAAACTGGTTGAAGAAAATATCTAAATGCATCTCCTGCCACCACTCTTCATCTGGCATAAAGCATTTTTACATGCCATAATCCCAGGAGCTCACAAGAGCTTTCCTCCTACTCTGGCATGGGGCACTGAGGCCCTGAGATCTGCCTCAGGACACAGAGCCAAGAACAATCAGAGGCAGGACCGGAACCCAAGTCTTCTGCCTGCAGATCCATTGCTCTTGCTTTTGCCTGACTGCCCCCGTTATACGTGATTTATGCCCTACCAAGGCAGAAAGTTGACACTTTGAAAAGCTCTAGCATTTCTCTTAAAGTCTGAAAAACAGAGGCAAACCCACTCTATACCATTCTAAAAAAAAAACACAACTAAAACTATATAGAAAAAAAATTTCACATCGATATAACCACAAGCCCGTCACCTGACCCCAGCCAATATTCTTTGGAGGGTTTACCTAACAGGTGTAAACCATCTCCCAGCTGACCTTGTTTTGTTGGTGGGGTTTCTTTTTTAATGCATTATGGGCACCAGTGCCAAAAGGCTGGGCAATGCCAGCTTCCCTTTGCTGTTCCAGTTATTGGCATGACTCTTCAGCTCTCCATTCCTTAGTACCTCCTGACAGTAAGGCTTAGAATTACTACACAGAAGATGATACCATTGGCACTGCTCTTATGGTGAAACACTAAGGGTAATGTTAGAATTAAACCATCATTTGATAAGTGGATCACACAAGTTGTAAACCAGGGCCCAGACACATATGTCAAGATGAGGCACTGAAGGGGAAAATATCAATTACCAAAAAAATTGATTAGGAATTATTTTAGTCTTGGGTGCTTAAAAATAAAAGCATCACAAATCATGGAATTGAGAGCTGAAGAGGAGCTTAGAGCTCAGCTAGTCCAACACTTCCATTTAACAGAAAGGAAAACTGAGGTCTAGAGACAGAAAGTGACATTCACAGAGTCACACAAGTAGAACATTGCAGAGTCAAGATCTGAACATGGTCTGCCAGCCCCCAATCTACCAGCCAAATGCCAAAAGTGGGCTGAATGATAGCTCATTCAGGAACAGAGACACACATTTTGGGTGGAAAGAATCCCCCCACTGCTACTATGAATGCTACATCTGCTGTGTATTCATATGTAATTAGGTTCCACTGAATCATTTATCTCATAAGATTAGAAGAAGGATGTTGCTTTAATTTTACAAGATGTTAATATCAAAGATATTAAAAACAGTAAGTTGATGAGGCACTAATTATTTAAGTGGAAAAGTTAAATGAACCTAAGAAAACAAAGACATGATCTAATTAATTAGCCCTCCTAGTGCTCTCCCTCCCAAAATCCTATTGTATTTCTTTTATATAGATTTATGCCTGTACCAATTGTCTAGCTCCACAGAATGTGAGCTCCTTAAGAGAAAGAATATTTCATTTTGTCTTTATAAATCCAGTGCCTAGAATAGCACTTGGCACCAACTAGGTGCTAAATAAATGCTTTTGGATTGGTTCATTAAACAAGCACATTTGGGCTCACAAGAATTCAAGTACTCACTCTTTTTTACGTAGGAGGATAAAAATTTCTCATTTTCAAAGATAAGGATCTATCCCTTGGAAGAGGAGAAGGAGGGGGCAATCACATTTGGGTAGAATAGCACAGTTTTCTAACCCTTTTCATATTATCTTATCTTGGATGTTGTGGGTAGGGTAAGCATCATTATTCCCATTTAATAGATGAGGCACCTCTGGCCTCACCTTTAAGACTAAATGACAAACTGTATTCACAGCCACATGAAAAAATGCTCCAAATCACTAATAATATGAGAAATGGACAATACAACCACCCTCAGGTTTTACCTCATACCCTACAAATAGGCAAAAATGACAACAGTTCATGTTGGAGGGGCTGTGGAAGAACAGGCACACTAAGACATTGTTGGTAGAGCCCATTTCAGAAGGCAATTTGGAATTACACAAATAAAGTGACTAAAATGTCCATACCCTTTGTCCCAGAGACTCCACTACTATACTTATACCCCAAGGAAGTCACCGATAAGAATAAAGTCCCTATATACTCCAAAATATTTATAGTAGCATTTTTCATGATAGCTAAGAATTGGAAACAAAGTAAATGTCCATTGATTGGGGAACAGCTAAACTAATTGCAGTATATGTAGTGGAATATTACTGTGCTATATTGAGCAACTAGGTGGTACAATGGATGGAGCACCAGGCCTAGAGTCAGAAAGACCTGAGTTCAAATCTAGCCTCAGACACTTATCTATGTGACCCTAGGCAAGTCACTTAACCTTGTTTGCCTCAGTTTCCTCATCTGAAGATGAGCTAGAGAAGGAAATGGCAAACCACTCCAGTATCTTTGCCAGGAAAACTCCAACTGGGTTCACAAGAGTTGGACAACACTAAAATGACTGACTGAATAATAACAACACAAAAAATGATGTGTGTGGTGAATATGGAGAAGCCTAGAAAGATCTGTATGAACTGATGCAAAATGAATTCAGTAGAGCCAAGGAAACAACATACACAGTGATGACAACAATGTAAATGGAATGAACAACCCAGTGTAGCAATATTATAAAGATCCAACAGGACTTCAGTGAAGAGACAGAGGAAGGCACCCACAACCTCTCCCTTCAGGGAGGTGGGGTTCCACGGGTACCGCACTTTGCATGTTTTCAGACTTTCTCAATGTATCAATCAGTTGTGCTGATTTTTCTCATATCTAAAAAAAATACTACGTATCATATGGGACGGATCCCTAGGAATGGGAAGGGGAAGAATACTTAGGCTAACTATGTTGAAACAGAAAATACAGATAAAAACTTACTAAAAAAAAAAAAGACTAAATGATCTACTCAAAGTCAAACACCAAGGAGAGAGCAGAAAGAATCATGCCTTGAACAAAGCCTACTCTTCTGACTTCCTGCCCAGGGATCATTATTTTAGAAGTTGAAGTAAAGCCTTAGGAAGGAAAGTGGACCCTAGAACAGTGTCAAGAGGCCTGGCCAGGGAGCCGGATGCCCTGGTGCTAAATGCATGACCAGAGGCAAGTCTCTTTGTCTCATGGGGCAGGGCTCAGGTGAGGTGGCAGCCAAGGGGACCTCTGCCTCTACCTCTTGGAGGTCCACCTCAATTGATGCTTTCAGAATAAGTATTCTAGATCAAGGTACATCACCCTACTCTCCCTGTTCTTAATGTGACCTATGCCTTTAACTTGCTCACAAAATGTTTCACCTATTAAAATATCTTTAGATCATTTACATATTGCTTCTAATCATTTTAGGTAGGTAGATGGTACAAACGAAAACCTGAGCCCCAGAATTTTGATTAGAGCTATCAAAATAACAAAGGCAATTTATAATTTCAAAGCAAAAATTATTTCAGAGAGATATGGCTATAATTTCCCTTATAATTTCCTTTGCTCAAACAGTGGCTAAAACATTGTTTTCATTTATGTATTTATTTTTCAAGCACTTATTATCTCTCTTTCCCACTGTCCTATTCCTATTGAATAATTTTTAAAAAAGGTAACCCTCCAAATAAACATTCAGTGTCCCATAAAACAAATGCAGTTCTGATAGCATATCAGACAGCAAGTTTCCATTTCATTTTATTAAAGACATGAGGAAAAAGACGGCTCCTCCCAGTAGGTCTCATAGAATAACAAAGCAAATCCCCCAAAGGCCACACACAAACACTTAGTTAAATTCAAATCATTGGGCTTAGCCTGATCTAACATCTCCCCCTGAGGAATTTGGCAAAAAATATAAACTTCAATTACCAAAAAAATCTTGTAGAAAAATTATGAAAAGAGAGGTCCCAACTTTCTAGATCATTTTAGGCTACACTAAGAAAATACCTATTTCATGGGCAACAAGGAAATCACTGGTTACCAATTACTCAATTACATTCAGATTTTTCTTCTGAACAACTCTCAAAGGTACATGTAAGGTCCACTGTCCGTGGTCATGATTGGACAAAAGAAAAGGAGGAGAAAAGAGGGCCCGTCTGTGCTCTGTCAGCAGAAGGGGGAAAAGACAACACTACAGAGTATTGGGCTCAAATTTTAATAGAGTGATTGTGAGCAGGATTCACATTCTGCCAGCATCAGAGTGATCCTGTACCCAGAGGGTCACCTCAACTTCAAATTAATTTCTATAAATCTTGTTTTACCAATATATGTAGAAAATGACTATGTTCTGTATATTTCCCATAAGAAAAATAAAGCTTGGCTGCGACTGGATGTTTATTTTAAGCTATTTCTCCATAAAGAGAGATAGGGACAGGACCTGTCATTGTACTGGCATCAGAAATGCTGGGAGAGGAAAGTCCTTCTACTGATGCAGGTCAGCATCTCCCCTGCAGCCCACAGTGCTGCGGAGAGTTGCCCAGAGCACCAAAAGGTGAGGTCACTTGTCCCAGATCACACAGGGAGGGTGTCAGAGACAGGACTGGAATCCGGGTCTTTCTGGCTCCAGGCCATCTCTCTATTCACTGTGGGATGCTGTCTCTCTTCTCCTTAAAATACTGGATGAAGGAATGTCCTTTGGGTCCTTTGTGATGGCGGGGGGGGGGGGGTAATGCACAACAGATCATGGCTCTGATGTTCTTAAAAGACCTGTTGTCACTTCAGCTTAGATGCCACTGCTGAGTTCCACCTTTGATGGACCTATCTCACGGATCCAGTCTCACCACGCCACAGGCTGGAGAAGAGGATGACTGTGTGTGCATCTGAAAAGTGAGCATCACACAGGGGGCAATGAAGGGGCATGGCAGGTGTAAGCAGGCTGCACCACATGAGACATGGGGAATGCTCAAGAGTTAAGGAATTAACACGAATTTATTAAGTACCTACTGTGTGCTAAGCACTGAGGAAAAAATGGCTAGTACATGTAAAAGCGCTATATAAACGGTAGTTATCATTACTGAGGATACAAAGACGCAAAATATGCAACTATTCTCATTTGTAAGTAGCTTACAGAGTATGGGGAGGATGAAATGCCTCTAGTAGAGGTTCATAATCTGAGGTCTATGAACCTGTTCTGAAAAGGAGGTCTAGCCTTGACAAAACTGCCAAGGGGGGCCAGGACATGGCTACATACAGGGAGAAAATGCTTCTGAAAAGCATTTTGACAGTAGAATTTCAAATTATTTTCTTTTTTATTATGAGCAAACATGCATGAGTATATTTCAATAAACAAAGAACAAAAAAAGGAATCATACATGAAACTGTTAACATTGCTATGTACAGTTTTAGAGGTGTCTATAACATTAAATAGAACAGAAACAAAAACAGCCCTACCTGCCCAGGTCCCTCTTTGACCTCTTTTCTTCTCTCTTCTGAATTCATTCCTCTATTCTTCCCCTGGCTCTGTTTCTTACTTTATCTAGACTCCAAAACCACGCCTTCTCTCCTTCTGGCTCATGCTGGAACTTCCCTAAGCACAGGGGCCCTCCTCGCACTAGAATATCTACCACCCTCTGGCCCACTCCCTACGGACTATCCCTCCACGGAGCCCAAGGCCCTTCTCCCATTGGCAGGTTCCTCCTGAGCCTCCATTCTGTGGAGGGACAAGCAGGCCTGCCTGCCCTCCTGCCTCTCCCATTCTGGCCCCAACTTCTTCAGGACTTCAGAGCTCTGTTCCCATGCTGGGCAGCGTCACTCCTCTGCCCTGCTATTCAGCTCCCTCTTCTATGCTGTCTTCCCCCCATTCAAATGTAACTTTCTTGAGGGCACAGACTATCTTTCTTCTGGCCTGCACAGGGTAAGTGCTTAATCCATCCATCCATCCATCCATCCATCCATCCATCCATCCATCCATCCTTACTTCTTTCCTTCCTCCCTTCCCTCCCTCCTTCCTTCCTTCTTTCTTTCTTTCTCCTTCCTTCCTTCCTGTGTATTTCTAGGGTTTCATTGAATTCCTTGTGTTTTTCCTTCTTTTCATCACTCCCACTTCCCACCACCCAGCCATGTGAACTTGAGAAAGTGTCTTATAGGTGGTGAAGTTTCCTTATATATAAAATGGAGATAATAAAACCTGCACAACCTCCATCTTCACAGGGCAGTTGAGAGGAAAGCATGTGGTGAACTTTAAAGTGCTAAAAAAACACGCATTACTGTTATTTCAGGCACCCCACTCTATGGTGTCCTTTCTACATGAGATGGCACTCAATATAGACTCCAAAGTCGACTGTTCAGCTGTGCCTTGGTGCAGAAAGAAAATGTGCCATCAGAGGGACAGTAACGGTTTGATCTCGTTTCACATATCACCATGCCCCCAGCATCCTTTCTGAGAGTGTTGTCTAGCTCATCCTAATCTAAGAGCCCACCCAAGAAAAAGAAGCTGGACTGGAGGTCATGGGTGAGAGTTGGCCCCGGCCAGCAAGTCAGAGGTGCTGGGCCTGGAATTGGGGAAACCTCCAACTAACTCTATGAGCATTCATTAAGTGCCCACTAATTGACGTCTAGACAGAAGTCAAACATTCTGTTCCCTCAAGGGGCTAACCATCTAATGGGTTGGGGGAAATGCTATGTACCTGGAGAAGTAAAATGAAATACATATAAAACAGATACCGCCGAAATGGAGTGAGAAGCAGAACTAACAACCGGGGGCACCAGAAAAGATCTCTTAGAGGACCTAACACTAGGGCTAAGCCTCGAAGAAGCTAGGGGCTCCAAGAGGCAGAGACTTAATCCTTGCCTCCAATAATTATCTAGCTGGGTAATTACAGGCAAATCCAAACTTCTCCAAGGGAGAGTTTTCTCATCTGTAAAACGAGTATGAGTACCTGTAGAAACTATCTCACTTGGCTGTAAGGGTCAGATGAGACAGTGTAGACAAGGGGCGATGGTTTTATTATTAGTATTTTTATTCTAACCAAAACTTCTCACCACAAACTAGGAGGATGGGATATAAAATCTGGGAAGAAGGTAGAAAAAGTTATTTTCATCACCGTACAACTTATTTCTGCAATGGCTGGCTGTGCCAAAACACAGCCTTTTAGTAACATCACTAAGGAGGAGACCATAGGGCCAAATTTACATTTTGGGAACTCATTTGTATAAAACTTCAGGGACGTGGTCCAGAATTCCTAAAAAATCCTCTTGGATTTCTTTCCCTGTCAAGCATACCTCACTCCCATCAAAATCCAGCCCAGCTTCATGGAAGCTTCTTGTTCCCATGAAGACACGCTGCTCCTGGGACCTTCCTAAACACTTAAAGCCCTTGTTGTTGCTGTGGTTCAGGAAGCAGACTCCTCTCCAAGCACAGACTGCTGAACTGGTGACAACAACCAAAGGCTTTCGGAGCCTTCTTGAGTCACAGGTGAAAAGACATGATGTAACACAATGACTTCATTCTCTATACCGTACACTACATTCACTGGAAGAGCAACAGAATGAAGGTGTATTCTGTTCTGCTGCTCTGGATAAAGCAAATTTAAAATCAGAATTCTGACCAACAAGGTTGACCCCAAACACTGAATAAAACATATTACATATTTTTGTATTTGCCAGACTTCTGACACCCTCAGCCACATAGAAGAGAGCCTTCAAACCGGGAAATAAATATTTCACCGACCCCAACCTCCCTCAAAACCTATGAGTGGCAAGAAACAGCTGTCTTACTCTGTTACACACAGGAGGAATAGCACCGCCCATCAGGCCAGATGCTACCCATTCATCATTCAGTGTAGAAACAAGGTGCCTAATTTAACCAGCAGCATATGAACGGCACTGTGCGGGGCAGTGCATAGAGAGATGGCCTCTAGTCAAGCAGACTCGGGCTCCAGTTCTCCCCTGACATGTATCATATGACCCAGGGCAAGGGTGCCAGGTGACTCCATATGACTCTAAGTTGAAGAAGAGATGTCAATGTGCTTGGCCAGGGGGAGTGTCCTCACCAAGAAGGTCCCCACGGGGATGACCTTTCAGATCTGGACAAAAACAAACAAAATAAAAACCACCAAGCTTGGCTTAGCTGCTCCCTCTGGGTAACAGTCAATTCACAAAGTGATAAAGGATTGGCGCTTTGGCCAGGCAGAAGTGAGAAGCCCCAAGACACAAGTGCAGGAAGCTCAGGTCACTCAGTGTATGGGGTCAAAATAGCCCCAGGGGCCTGAAGACTGAGGGGAGATGACTACAACAGAAAAAGAGCTGGTGTCTGTGATCATGGTTTGGAGTCCATAACCAAAAACGTGTTGTTTGTTTACAAAGACAGGACTTGGTCATTAAAATTTTTTTTTCCCAACAACAGCTGTTCACATTCAAACAGTATTTGTGAGATTGTGACCTGAAAAATAGATTTTTCACTAATCTAGAAAATTCCTTCAGTTAAAATGCTTCGTTCTCCAGTGCTTTAAAAGGCCAATTTTATGACAACTGTCATATTGGTTAACATGTTGTTATTATTAACAATAATAACAATGGCTAACTAGCTAAATCACAAATTACTGCAATGCAATAATCTGAAGCCGTCATCGTCTACGTCTCACAATTAAGTGCACGGGCAGGAAGTGACCATTCCGTATTTAAAAGCACGTACTTACCCCCGTACTGACAAGGGACAACATGATCCTCTCATTTAAGGCCAACGTCTCTCCTTGTTTCATCTTGATCCTCTTTTTATCCAAGCATTTCATCGCATACCTAGAAACACAAACAGCACTGAATAATCGGGAGAGCCAAGTTCTCTCTCGATGAGCTGAACACAAGACTGAGTTGGGTTTGATGATGGCAGTTGAATGCTACAAGCACAAATCCTTTTTTGTCTTTAATATATTAAGGAAATATTTTACTTATGAAACACACATTAACTAATTTTTATACTAAAGATTTTTCTACTCTATATGGCTAATTCCTAGTTGATGCAATAGAAAAGAGGACTTAGTTGGGAACCACAACCCTAAGGCCTAGGCTGCAACAAGCCTTCCATCAATATTTGTCGATGAATATCACACATATGTAAGTATCAGTACTAGCATCGTTACAACATTATTTCTTGTCTCCCCTATCAGACTGCAGTAAACAAGGGCAGGGACTGAGATTAATCTAAAGTTTACTGTCTCTCTCATCATCAAGCACCACACTCTGCACACAAGAGATCCTTAATAAGGATTTATGGAATGCAGAAATGGATGACCTTGGAAAGGAGAGAACTTGGGAAGAACTTCTTTTTTGCACTTCAGCGATCAATCTATAGATTTGCCTTGCCCCCTTTTCCTAGACAGTAAAGTCCCACAGGCAGGCAGGACCTGTGTCATAACCAATTTTATTTTTATCACCTTTAATGCTTTATACACGAGTCACCTAGTAGTAGGAACTGAGAAAGCTAAGTATTTAAAGGAAGGAAATCCTCTGGAAAAACAAAGCCTCCATTTCTAATGGGTGCGCCAATTGGAAAGTATAATTTCCCCTTACTCCCAGGGAAACACTTTAGAATAACTTTATTAGTAGTGACCCAGCCTTCTTAGAGTCACATGGGAGGGGCCTGGACTCTCCGAAAGATTTGGACTGACAGAGGGCCAGCCAGCACTTTCAGGAATATGGCCCCTCCCTCTGTTCATGCAGATTCCCAACCCTCTAGAACTTGGTCGATGGTGTGAAAGGTCTATCAGTTCCCTGAAGCAGCCAACCTCTCCGAGTTTGGCTAGTCAGCCACCAACAGGCCTACAATCTGTCCCTGGGCTCATACCCGAAGCCTTTCGAGCTCAGGAGGCCTGACTTAGCCAGCACTGACTGGCCTTGACAACCCCAGGTTACTTCCATCCAGCGATGAGACACGGGAGGATTTCCGGGAGGTCCAGTGAAAACACTTGGGCAAAAATACTAATTTATAATGCAATGAAATTCTTTAGAAGTGAGAGGCTGGAGTTGGACAGTTCTCCTTTACAGACCTCATATGCTACTGAGTGTTGGAACTCAATATTTCCACTGAAGCCATTTGAGGAGCTTACATTTTTCCAGTGTCAGCTTTTCTGCAACCATATACTTCACCAAATCCTCCTCGGCCGATAATCCTATGTACACTGAAATCATTCATGGTCAACTGTGAATTCAAAAATAACAGGCATTTCATTTCACTTCATTTTTTTCCCCAAGCTCTCACACAGATTCAGACTATCGTGAGTGGTCGCTCGCTCCGGCGGAGGGGGCTTCCGTTAGCCTCGCCGAGGGCCCCAAGCACTCCGATTCCCAAGTCCAAGGATGGAGAGACCTCCACATACTCCCCCTTCCTTTGCCTCTTCCAAAGTAATGAAGCACAAGGAAAGGAGAAGCAAATGTGAAGACCACACAGTGCGAGGTCACGGGAGCCCGGCTTGGGAGTCACAGGCCCAGAAGAAGGAGTGATGTGCCCAGGCCCCCAGAGGAAGGAAGGCCTCATATGTGATGCTCAGGGACCATCCTAGTCGTTCGCTTGGATTTCTGTTTGGAGGCTAGATAGCAAGGAGGTCACAGCAGCCAATATGCCTGGGGATATCTACCAGCTCTAGAGGGGGGCTTCGTTAAAGCAGCCCCAGAGGTCCAGGGCTGAGCCTATACATAGCCACAGAGGAGAGACAAAGCGCCTGCCTGGGGCCCAAACAGTGGTGTGGCATTTCTGGCCCCGGCACAAGGCAGGGTACGAGAAAGCACCGGTGCTTAATCCGGGCTTGTGGAAGTGAATTCTCAACCCAAGACAAGGTACCCAGTCAAAGGACGTGGCTCGTGTACGAACCCATGAGATTAGCTTGTTTTCTCTTAAGTGGGATGGGGCTGGAAAACTGAACCCTGTACAATACTGCACAGCAGCTGAGGCACCCAGGGAGACAGGGAGCTAGCTGGCAGCCAGCAAGGCCAAGCAGGGCAGGCGCTTTGTCCAAACCATTGGCGTCCCCCTCCTGGCAGCAAGGGCACAGAGAGAAGGAGAGGTCTGCTAGCCATTCTCAGTCAAGGACAAGTATGAGGCCTGCTCTCAGTCACTCTCACCTTGGCTCTGTCACAAGCTCAAGTAAAGGGGAGGATACAGGAGGGAGAGCAGAGGAGCCAACTCTGTGCCCTTTCCCAGAAGAAAGAGAAACAGACCTTAAAGGGTTGACATTGAAAATAAACAGAAGACGCAGATGCAAGCTAAGTCTGTCGGTCAGCAGCATTCATAAAGGCACGCACTAGGGACCAGCCTCAGAGTCTGCCCTCAAGGAGCTTACCTTATAACAGAAGAAGTTAGCCCACACAAGGGGGCTGACCACAGGGCTGGGGTGGGAAGAACGGCAGAGACTGAGCTGTGTTTCCCTTCCTAATCAAATCTTTGCATTCTAGGAAACATTCGGATGAATCAGGCAATACAACACTATGAGGCTGCTTAAGGATACATTGTCGTATTTTGTGAAACAGTCTCCTTCCCATGATAAGTTGGTCTTGTTCAAGGAAGGAAAAGCAATGGACCATTATCAGAATTTCATATGATAGACAGAGAAAGAAGGACAAGGGAGGAAGGGAGAAAAGGAAGGCGAGAGACATGATCACACAATTACTTACATGGATATTTAGCTCAACATTTTTCCACTGACAATATCTAGTGAACTTGTCACTAAAAAAGAATGAAGTTAAAGTAATTATTGGAAAGTTACATTTCTTATCATTTAACTTATTTACTTCCTAAATTCACAGAGCAACTTTAAAAAATAAATAACCCTAAGACCAGGCAGAATTGTTGCATTATTTGGTGTCCAGAATGTCTGCCCCACTCACAGACTGCTAGCCAGCGCAGAAGCGGGCCCACTTTCTTCCCCCACCCCACCTTTGAGCATCTTTGCCAATGTGCTTGAAGCCTCAGAGTTGTTTGGAGATGTAGTTCTCTTTTTCTTAGTAATTTGGTACATTCTTTCACATAACTGTTAACAGTTTGCAATTCTTGTAAGAACTATTTGCTTCCGTATCCATCTCCTGGGGAATGGTGTTGGTTGCAGATATTTGTTAGTAGCCGAGATATCTCAGCTATCAAACCTATATCAGAATTATTGATACGGATTTTTTTCCCCACTTGACCTCTTCCCTTTGTACCGTACTTGCACTGGTTTTATTCATGAAAAAAAGCTTTTCAATTTCATGTAATTGTAATCACTTCTATCCTTGGCGCAGCTAGATGGCACCATAGTACAGAAAGCACTGGGGCCTGGAGTCTGGAAGACCTGAGTTCAAATGCAGTCTCAGACACTTACTAGCTGTGGAACCCTGAGCAAATCACTTCACCTCAGTCGGCCTCAGTTTCCTCAGCTGTGAAATGGGGATAATAATAGTACCTACTTCCTGACTGAAGTGAGTATCTAACGAGTAATAATTGTAAAGCATTTAGCATAGTGCCTGGTACATGGGTGTCCTATAAATGTTAGCTATTATTACTGCTGTTGTTATTTATTTCTTCATTTGAGTAAGAACATTTCCCCTCTGGTCATTCATCAATCAATAAACATTTTTGATGAAAAAAATATTGATTAAAAATAATGAAAGATACTTGATCTGGTTCTCATCTAAACTTTCTAGGTATGACCTTTAATACTTCGGTACACTTTGAGTTTCCTCCTGAATACGGCCTAAGGTGTTGGTCTAAACCCAGATTCTATAAAACTGCCTCCTACTTCTGTCAAGAATTCTTGATAATAAGAGAGTTCTTTGAGTGCATAATCAGCATTTGGGGATGGGGAATGGGATTCTTTTTGGTTCTTTCTTGTCTAGTATGATAAGTCGTGATGATTATTTAGCTTTATTATATCTTTGGAGATCTACAAGGACTACTCTCTCTTCCTTCCTACCTTGTTTTCATTGCTTTCTTAGATATCAGCTTCTAAACATGCAAATTTTCTCAACATTTTTTCCATATTTTGTCTTAATCTAGCTTTTGTAACCTGAATTAGAATGTTTTCTGAGTTTCTTCTTTTGATGATCATTCGCTACAGTAATAGAAATGGTCTCAATGAATAAAGACATACTGGCAGGATAAAAATAACACTTGACTAGAAATCAGATACTCAAATAGCTAATATTGCACCAAAATTATCCATATATAATTTGGCTTAATAAATCAGTTTCCTCATCTATAAAATTAAAATAATAACACCCTTTGTTATCTACCTATTTCATCAGAATTTTCTACTGGTCCAGTTTTTGGAAAGGGGTAAATTAGGCTTTGTTTTAATGATATATAAATGAAAAAGGCTCTACATCAGAAGTTCACTCATGGGGGAAGGGGAGCCTACAGGGTTTTGCCTGGGACACCAAATTTAAAGGGCCAACAACAGCACTTGACAGGAATAACTGAGTTTAACCATAAGCAAGGACAATGAGACCAGGACACTGTCAGATTATGGGCTTCCCTGACCTCTCCAGATGCAGCACTGGCAGAGTCTCCATGGGCCATGTCCATGGGTGTCTATCTCTCTGCACAGAGGAGAGTGTTCCAAGGTGTGAGGTATGACCATTATCCTTCCTTAATGGAATTAAAGTCTTAAAATTAAAATTAAGGTCTTAAAGAGATGATCTGAGGGCACCTTTCCTGCTGTTTACCAAAGGGTCAGAACTGCTATTCAAGGCTATGTCCTTACTGGACGGTAAGCTCCTTGGGAACAGATATGCCAGCTTAGCTACTTTTGTATCCCCTACAACTAAGCCCACTGTTTACTGAATAAATGCTTATCATATACATATAACTACTAGGCAAGAGCCAACATGGTCTGGTGGTGGGGAAGAAAGGATGATAACTGTCTTCAAGTATCTACAGGTCCAACATGTACACTAGACTGGTTCTGTTTGGCCCCAGAGGGCAGTACCAGCAGGAATGGTACAGCTCAGAAAAAGTCATATTTCAGCCTGATTTTGAGGGTAAGGCATCCTAACAATTCCAGCTGTCCACCAGTGGGATACACCACCTGGAAAAGTAGAAAGTTTCCTCCTATTTATGGGTTAAAGGATCTAATGCCAGAAGGAAGCTCAGAGGTCACTCAGTGCAGTCCCTTCATTTTGGAGTTGAGGAAGCTGAAACTCAGGGAGGGGAAGTGAGTTGCACAAGGTCAGACTACCTGTCAGAGGCAGGATTGAACCCAGACCCTCAAACTCCAGAGCTGAGGCTCTTTCCAATCTACCATACAGCCTCCAAGATAAGGTCACTTCTAACCAAGGATAAGACTCTGAGATTTCAGGCAGCTCTCCACAGTCAGGTTTCTGATACGACTCAGAATAATTCTATCACATGATGGAAGGAATAATTTTGCGGTAAATTGTATTAATAACATCTCTTGAAATTATACAGAATTGCAGAACAAATTAACATTCCTTTGTATCTGTGACCACATGGGAAATAGAGATGTAGTAGCAGACTCATATGTATATGGTGTTAAAAGGTTTGAAAAGACCTTTGCTCACAACAGCCTCATTAGGCAGTACAAGGATTGGGCCTTTTGGAAAGATAAAGAAAGTGGGGCTCACACAGGGTAAGGTACCTGTCCCCAGTCAGAGAGTCAGTGTCAGAAGACAGGAAATTGTACCCATCTCTTCTGACTAATGACTGAACAATGGCAATGCACTGGACGCAGTTATTGTGTGACTTTCACGTGCACAGATTGCAGAGAAAGGGGTACTGAGAATACATCTTTAGTTCTGGTCACTGGGGGGAGCAAAGATCTTTCTCCAATAAATGAAGAGCTCACATTGGTAAGAAACTGAGAGAATCTACCAGATCAACCATCTCATAGACATAGTCAAGGAGCAATGTGAGATTTCAAAGAAACAGACAGCATCTTAGCAGCAGCAGCAAAAGGCAAATCTACTGGTCAGGTATTCATCTATTTGACAAACATCTGAGTGCCTACAAAGGGATGAGATGCTGGGTTAGGTGCTAGCTGTTCATTGTATCAAGATTCCGAAAAGGCATTGGCTTGTGTCCTGGAATTCTAATAACCACAGTGTAATTTAAGGATTAGGAGACCAATCTGACACCTTAAATTAAGTCTAGTGAAGGAAAATCCAAAAGGTCAGATAATATATGGGGTCATATTTGGATTACAAAATTGATTCCTCCTCTGGCTTTTTTTTTCAAGTATTAACCCCCTTCTCTGGTCCTTTAAAATGTGAGACAGATTAACTACTTGACAGAGAGGAGGGGACAGTAACCACTTATACATTTAACACAATTTAAGTCTTGAGAATCAGATCAACTGTCTCTAACATTACAATGCTAATCAATGAGGAAGCTGGATTCAATTTCACACAAATTTTAGAAATACAAATATTGCATAAGCTGAGGTACAGCTTCATAGAACAGCACTTCACATTCAGCTTTTCATACCTTTCAATATATTTTTGAAATATGTTGCCCCGAAGACTATCGCAAATTTCTTCTATGTATGGCTGAAAAGGATGAAAAAAAGAAATTCCACACAATGTAAATTGAAACACACTAAAGTGACCACATATGGAGAAGCCAATGATAACACTGGCCTGTACCACTAACCCTGAGATTAAAGTCTGAAACCCAACACACTATACATGTATTCATATATGCATATACACATACAGCTAATGCCTGAACTTCCATTGATTTGATGAGAATCATAAAAAATTTCATCTGGAAGGGGATCTCTGGTGCCTTCTAATCCACTTAGCTCATATGACAGATGAGATAATGAAGAGGCCTCACGCAGGATCATAATGGTACTAGAACCTAGAACATAAAGGCCTAGAACCCTCATCTCCTGGCTTCCACTCTTGCACCCCTGCAACTACACTGACAAAAGTCTGGGCCCGCTCACTATCCTGGCCAATTTATTATAAATAAAACCAGCAGACACATATGAAATGTTTTTTCTTCCATGTACTGGCTTTACGTCTACTATCTTAATTATAAATGCAAAGTGAAAACTGTAATTCTTGCCAACATCTTCTCAGAACCACTCTACTCCACAATGCAGTCATTAAATATAGGGAGAGTTTGACCTGGGAGTTTAGGGAAAGTGGGTGCTGTATGCAAAGACACTGAGACCTCCTCAGACCTGGAAGGGACAGCCCAAGAACAGTAGCCTGTGCGGACAATGTGTCAGTCACATGAGAACATGGCAGCATGTCAGAGTCAGAGCAGAACTCCCTTCTACACTACTCGGTCTTTGCTTGAAGACCATCACACCAAGAACTGATCACCACCCAAGACAGCCTATTCTCCTTCTGGAATCAGGAGGTATCCGAATGGGAAGGAACGTGAAGGGTCATCCAGTATAATCTGGCAGGTGAGGAGCCTGGGCCCCAGAAAGGACCATGTCAGGGCAGCTTCACAGCCAGTGAGACAGGAGCTTTTGGGCCTCCTCATTCAGTGCTCTCACCCAAAAGATACATGAAGGAAGCAGAAATCTCTAAACCAGAGACTCTTCACCTGGGTCAAAGAACTTTTTCTTTTTTTAATATCTTGATAACTGTATTTGGATATCATTGGTTTCCTTTGTAATCTTGTATTTTGTGTATTGAGAAACATGATTCTGAAAAGGGGTCCATGTCTTCCCCAGGGGGGACACAACACGAAAAGTTAAGAATTCCTGCTCTAAATAATCTCCTAACAGTGTCTTTAATATCCAGCTCAACTAGCCTTCTCACCCTGAGCCAACCAGAAAGCCAAGGAGACATCTCTGGGTGTTCAGCCGATTTGGTCAAGAAAGCAAAGACCAGTTGGTGCAGTGGATACAGCAGCAGGCTTGAAATCAGAAAGACTCATCTTCCTGGGTTCAAATCTCACTAGCTGTGTGACCCTGAGCAAGTCACTTAACCCTATTTGCCTCAATTTTCTCATCCGTACAATGAGCTGGAGTAGGAAATGGTCAACCACTCCTGTATCTTCTCCAAGAAAACCCCAAATGAAATCACAAAGAGTCAGACATAACTGAAACGACTGAACAACAACAAACTCCAGAGTTATCAGTGATCCTCAAAGACCCCTCAAAAGCCAGGAGTATTTCTCCATTTCTGCCCACATACTCAAATGACAGGATGCCCCGATGAACCCAGGGACATGAGGTCATTCGGCAGAGCAACAATTTCAGGATTCTCGGCTCATCGTTCATCAAACAGCTACAGAAATAACAAAGCTAAGCAACGTCAGATCAGCATGGACAAGTTTTCCTTCCTCCCTTAACTGGTGGACAGGGACGTCAAGCCAAGGAACCTCATTTGTGGGTAAACAACTGGTTTCATTTTTCATGGGACAAATCTACCCAAGTGTAACTAGAATCTTCCAAAGTGTAACTGGATCCCTCTCTATGCACACGTTAAATCCCAAGAGAACAACAAGTGGGATCATCTCCTCATCATCTCTCACTTGGCTGATTGACTTTCCTCCCCTGTCCCAGGATGCTGCTTTCTGGGACATGATTCAAGATGCCATCAGCCTCGGTACCTTTCCACCTCCTCAGCACCCTCTGCACCCCTGGTGGGAGGGTGGGGTCAGGATCTCCAAACCTCCCCGTAAGGAAGGAGCCCATCTGAGACAGCTCCTCATTTCTCATCTGGCTGTGCTACTCTGGGCCTGGTGCCGGACTTTTCCACCATGCACAGTACAACCCTCCCACCCACCCCCACCCACACTATTTATTTTCCTTTTGTGCACTGCCTTCCACCATTAAAATGTAAGCTCCTTGAGGATGGGAACTTATCTATTTTTTTTTCATATTGTATCCACAGCACTTAACACAGTGTCTGGCACATATAGGTGCTTAATAAATGTTTGCTGACAAACTGCTTGATTCAAACCCCAGTGGAGAAATGCCTAAAGCGTTTCCTCACATAGGACACCAATCTAAAGTCAGTGAAGACCTGAAAATTATCAGCACACTAAAGTTTGTTGGTGATGATGTGGGAGAAGATACATATGCGAAACACTAAGCCAACCAGTAAAAGAATGAAAAGTGGAGTAAAGCCACTTATTAGCATTCACGAAGACAAAGTTGATTTCAATTCAGTCCTCCCCCAATGAAGTCCAACTGGTTTATTCGTCTAGACAAAGCCCCAGTCAAAGCGTTCAATCTTCTTGGGCTAGAAAAACAAAAACAAAGCTGGTTCCGCCCCCTAACAATATAAAAACCAAATGAGCACCTGCTGCATCTTATTGTATGGAACCACAGTTATTAAGTTCGTCATGAAAATAAAAATAGGATGTCAGAAGGGGAGAAGGCCCTGAACCAACTTACCTCACACAGTAAAGATCATCACTGATCCCAGGTAAAGCCACGGGCATCTTTGTTTAGCTTTCCCACTCATAAGAATCACAATATTACTTAATGATAGTCTCTCACAAACCTTTTTTTTTTTAAATTCACAGAAACCACAAAGGGCCCATTATTCAGTTGAGAGTGTTGACTATCTGCCATTGTACTTTCTATGGAAAATACACAGGATGGAAAAAGCTTGGGCGCAGAGGAATTCTTAGCACACAATGATTTCTAATTCCAAATCTGACCTTCCCAAAATCATCACTTTCTTCATGGTAATGGTAATGGTAATTCAAACCAAGGCTCCCTTGGAATAACTTGAAGAACAAACAGAGAGCTGGGACAGATTCATGTCCTCTACAATACAAAATTCTTGAAAAACAATCTTATTTCAATCAGAACATGGTGTTCAATGCAAATTTCAATAGCAACCAACCAACCAATAAGGCGGAAGGGAGATCACAACAGGTCAGATCAGAAATAGACTTATTTGGGGCTCTAGTAGGAAGTGACCTAATGACCTAAGCCACAACTCTCAAGGCAAACATCAACAAAAAGTGTAACCAAAGCACACCAAGGACAGAAAACAAGGACAGTTGTCCCTTGTTTTCTGAACTGCCAATGCATCTTCTTTTTTAAAACAGAATTTGACTAGAAAAGTTTTTATAAAGTTCTATGGCCACGGCACCATATCTTGACTAATCTATTTTTCAAAAAGCAAAGAAATCTATATTAGAGAAAATTCTCTGTTTGTAATTTTGGCTGTTACATCATACTTGGGTTGGAAGATAGTTCAATACTCTGAGACATCTGCATTTCCTCAGGGTTTGCTTTCCTTTCAGGGATGCATCCCAGGGCCTCTGAGCCTGCCATGAGTTGCAAAGGGTCAACCTGGCGGTGAGGAGCTTGGCTATGCCAATCAAGGCACGTGCACAGCCTGACATTAGGCACATACCAGAAAACTTTCCAGCTCAGGGGGAGAAACCAGAAGGTGCCTGTACTCTGGTACAACCATAATAACCCAAGTCCATCTCCAAGCCAGGATGACACATCAGAGGTGATATCAGGGGAAGAATTTAAAATTAACTGATTTTAAAGTAATCTTTGTTACCTGATGAAATCTAGTTGGAGGTGTCAATTCCTCTGGCAAATACAGGCAAAGACCTTTTCTAGGCTGATACAAATTAAGGACATTTATCCTAAAAAGGTTCAATCTTACCTGAAAAAGATTTGAGGGCACTTTTTTCTTGGCTAGATGAGTTTGTACATGGTCTACAGCTTGCTTTGAGAATACCTTTAAAAAAATTAAGAACAATGATTATTTTTCACACCAAAATGAAACAATTCTTTGAAACAGACTGCTTTACAATTATAGATAATTAAGAATTTCAAACCTTGTAGAGTCTCTTTTATCAAAGGTGATCCAAAATGCTCAACTTTGCCACTTGGGACAGTTTTATTTGGTAATTCCTACACCAATACTTGCTGGACAGCAGGGGTCTCTTGGTACTTGTGGCCTAACAAGACCCTCTGATTAGCAGGCTGGTGCTAGGAAGGCTTATGTGCACTGGCAGAAATCTAAGCCAATAAACATTTATCAAATGCCTACTATGCACCAGTGATGACAGTAGTTGGCCCACACTGAAAAGTGCTACTACCGCCATTTAGCATCCTCCTATCCTTAGGAAAATACTGCAGGTCCTCCAAGTCCTGAAGATCTGGAAAATTCACTCAGACTTTGGGGATACCCCAGACATTCAAATCTCTCATTCCTGTAACTGATTATCCAAAACAGAGAAGTGGGGAAAAGTAGGCTTTCCCAACAAATCTATAAAAATATTCACATAAAAAAAAAACACCAGATAGGAAAAGCATTTTGCAATGCACCTTGGTATTCAAAGCTGAGAACATGTAACCTAGACAGAAAGGAAAAGAAACCACAGGTCAGGCAAGGAAAATCCCCAGCAGTGGAACAGCTTTCTTCCAGATCTAAAATCCAACAGTTCCAATACTCTGCAGGTGTGACTGGTTCCATAGCTACCCATACATCTCTACATCAGGGATGAACACTGAAAAGGTGAGGTCATCCAGCTAATTTAGAGCCACACAAAGGTTTCCTGAGTGCCTGTGCTCTTTACATCCTGGCATGCTGAACTCTATTAACACCTCTTATTAGCTTTAGTTCTCATGGAAGGATAGTTTTTCCTCTTAAAAACTACAGAGGGAGGTATCTCTTGAGGTTCTACAGTAATAGCAAGGCACCTCATGAAGGCAGGCTCAGAAACCTCACAAGACAAGTACATTCCTGACGGGCTCAAATCCATGACACGAAAATTTCTCGACTCTCCTAACGACCACCTAAGTGGTTCGCCCACTTAACTCAGTAGTGCAATGCTGCTGCTCATCCTTTGCTCACAGAGGGGACGAAAGTGACAACCAGATGTTGGAGTCAAGGTGCAGTGTGTCAGACTGTCTGATCAGACCCACATGAGCTCAGAAGGCTCTATCTATCACAGGCCAGGCACAGACAGTCCATCTGAACACTGGAGTGGAGACGTGGGCTCCGTTGGGCTGCTGCAGTTCTGCTTTGCTTAAAGAGCACAGCACCTTCCTTGATGTGGACACACCATGCTGAGTGGCCCTATTCCAGCATCACCCATGTCTTGCAATCAATACTAAAGTTCTTCAGAGGGCCTTTGACAGTGCCCTTGTACCACTTCTTCTGATCACCTTGTGAGCGCTTGCCTTGTTCGAGTTCTTGGTAAAATAGTCATTGAGGTAAACATATATTTGGCATTCAGACAACATGGTCAGCCCCGTGGAGTTGCGCTCTCTGTGGTAGAGTTTGAACGCTTGGCAGTTCAGCTTGAGAAAGGATCTCAGCGTCTGGTACCTTATCCTGCCAGGTGATCTTCAGAATCTTCCTAAGACAATTCACATGGAAGCAACTCAGTTTCCTGGCATGGCACTGGTAAACTGTCTAGGTTTCACAGGCATAAAACAATGAGGTCAGCACAATGGCTCTGTAGACCTTCAGTTTGGTAAGCAGCCTAATACCTCTCCTCTCCCACACTTTTATTTGGTGCCTCCCAAACACTGAGCTAACTCTGGCAATGTGTGCATCAACCTTACCATCTATGTGGACATGCCTGAAAAGTATACTGCCAAGGGAAGTGAACTTATCCATAGCATTCAAAACTTCTCCATTTGCTGTAACCAATGGCTGCGTATGGATGATGTGATGTTGGCTGGTGGAGAACCTCTGTTTTTTTTGGTGTTGATCATCAGGCCAAAATTAGCACAAGTAGCAAAGAACTGATCCATACTCTGTGGCATCTCAGCCTCAAAGGTTGTACTGAGTGCACAATTATCTACGAACAAAGTCAAGCACCAACTCTCCCTCCACTTTAGTCTTGGCTTACGGCCTTTTCAAGTTAAATAGTTTACTATCAGTGCAGTAGCTGACCTTGATGCCATTTTCATCCTCCCTGAAGGTATCTGACATTACTGAAAACATCATCATGTTAAAAAGCATGGGAGCAAACACAGAGGCCTGATTCACTCCACTGGTGACAGGGAAAACATGAGAACATCTCCATTATCCAGAACACATACAAGCATGCCATCACAGAACTGACGTACAATACTGATGAACCTCTTCAGGCAAATTTCAACATGATCTTCCACAAGCCCTCATGATTGGTTAGGCTGATGAACATTGTGTACAGACCTCTGTTCTGCTCCTGGCATTCCTCCTGGAGTTGTTGGGCAGCAAACATCATGCTGACTGTTATTCAGTCCTTTCTGAAACCACACTGGCTCCTGGATAGATAACCATCTTCCAGGTGAAGGAAAAGCCAATTAAGGAGGATTCTGGGAAGAATCTTGCCAGCAATGACTAAGAGAGAGACACCTCCCCACACCTTTTGATTGTCACAGGACAACCTGTTTCCTTTTCCTTTACAGAGATGGACAATGGAGGCATCCTTCATCTCCTAGGTGGTAACCTCCTCTTGCCATGTAACCTGGAAGACTTCAGGAGGCTTATGTATAAGCAGTGGACCTCCTGTCTTGTAGATCTCTGCTGGGATGGAATCAGCACCAGGCACTCTGCCACACAAGAGGAACCTAATGGCATTCAATACCTCTTCTTTAGTTGGAAGTTTGGCTAGAGAGAGATTGACTTCAACCTAAGGGGTACAGTAAATGGTTTCTGCATTGGTTGATGACAGTGTGTTGTGAACACTGAGGAAATGTTCAGCCTGCCTCTCCAGAATCATGTCCTTAACCCTGATCAGTGTTGCTCTATCAGTGCTCAGTGGTTGAGATGTATCAGAGGTCTTTGGCCCATAAATAACTATGCTAACAACCATCTACATGTTCAACCACTTATCTAAGTGGTTCAATAACCACCCAGTGGTTCAGCAATCCTCCAATAGGTTGCTCATGAAATTCAGTAGGGAAACTAGAAAATAAAGAAACAGTTCCATTAGAAATGCCACCTTTATCCGCTTCTATTCAAATCTCCATAAATCCCATTATCCATGAACATAAAGCATTAAAGTGTACTCAAAAAATCAAACTACAATAAAACCAACTTCATGCAACAAAGGAGTTTTCCCTAGGACTGAAATTCTTCCAAATCATGGGCAGATTAAATTATATCACCATCATTTAAGTGCTAAGTGACTCCTCTGGAGAATGCTTTTTATGCTGAGACACTATATCCTGAAGCATCACTGGTTAAACATTCAAATGTGACCAAGCAAATAGCAGCTATGTTGGACTTGGTTTCTGTAGGTACAAAATTAAGCTTGATGGAAGAAGGGTTAGAAATCTCTGGTTTCACTCACAGCTCCAACATTTACTAGCTGTTCAATTTTAGTCAACGAACAAGAAAACGTCGAGGTTCACTGGAATCAGAACTAGCAGGAACCTGAGAGATGACCACGTCCTGACTTCCTCATTTTACACAGAAGAAAACTGAGGCCCAAAGGAGACTTTTCCAGGGACATCCAAACAGTAAGTGGAAAGGCCCAGATGCCAATTCAATCTTCTAACGCTAAGCACCGGGTTCTTCTCACCACACCACACTACCTCTGAGCACCAGCTGTGTCCTCTGGAAAACAGAAGTACCGAGGACTAAACTATGTTTTCACAAGGTCATTGTGGGGAAAGTGCTTTGGAAGTTTTAAAGTGATAAAGAAATATGAGTCATTACTGTTACCTATTGAAAGTGGCTTTAATGATGCTTACCTTCCGGATAACAATGAGACTATTTCCTTGGATTAGCCACTTCAAACACACAATTGATTATAACTGGCATTATCAATTCATTAAAGACAGTCTCTAAGACTGGCTGACTGGCCTCACCCTCAAAAGCCACTTTCAAATAGTAAAGTCACAGTTCTTCAAATGAGTCTAAAATTTCAGTTTCATTGATTCAGATGAGTCTTCTCTCCAGTTAATTCAAACTAATAAGGGTTTCTTTTGAATTTTTTTCCCAGAGGAAATGATTAATTTCTGAAAATGGCAGTGATGCTAAAGAACAGAAAGTGCAACAGGAAACCAGGAAGGGCAGAGCATCTCTCCTTCTGAATCCTCTGTTTACCACTGCACTTACACAATATGGAAACTTTTTAAAGAATCTTGTTCCACAGCAAAACACTCCTTAGTACTGTGATTATCCAGCAGCCACATCACAAAAGGGAAATACTCACATGGGAAGAAGACAGAAGCTCCTTCATTATGAACGTGTCGTAGATCTGCCGGCTCCTCCGGAGACGCTCTTCCTCAGAACCGAGCTTTTCGTATTCTCTGATCTGAATGTTAAAAAGTGCTCTGGATCAGTTAGGCTCTTGCTATATCATTATGTCACTTAGCTGAAGGGGCTCATTAGTCACCGCGGTAAGAGCCCTTCCACAGGAGGTAAAAAACACTGTCACTGCTAACGGTTACACACAATGCGGACGTTCTACAATGTGAATTCATCTGAAAGACGGATTTGTATTTTCCATAATGATCACTATCAATTAAATGGATAAACACAAGGCCAGGCATTAAAGGGTCTCACTGGTACGATGACTTTGCAGCATAATACCTGTGGCTGTCATTCATTCCTGCCAATTCCTTTATCCTGTTAGTTGAAATTTTAAAGTTGACTATAATTAAATAGGGATAGAGCACTGGACCTGGAGTCAGGAAGCCCTGGGTTCAAATCTAGTCTCAGATACTTACTAGCTATGTGACCTTGGGAAAGTCCCTGCCTCAGTTTCCTCATCTGTAAAATGGGCACAATGATAGCATCTATCTCCCAGGGTTGTTGTGAAGATCAAACAAGTTCATATTCGTAAAGCACTTTGCAAAACTTAAAAGTGTTATGTAAATGCTGATGTTACTCAGTTATGATGCTACCAAAGCAAATCCAATGAAGAAAGAAAGAAAAATATCAACTAAATTCCTACCCAAAGTTTTGAAAAGGACCTGCAAGTCTCAACATGGGCTTCTATGGAGCCATAGCAACACAATGCTTTTGGAAAGGAATGATTCACCCCACATGGGCAGCTTCTCAAAGTTAGAGGGTACTGGACTCAACTACAAAAAATGCTGCCTCTCCAAAGCTGGATTATTCTACATGCAAAGGAGATTTCTAGATAAGAGTCTCCTGACTCACTAAATAATTAAGTACAGTTGGGAAATATGTGGCTTATACAGAAATGATCTCTATCCTTTCCCCTTGTTGTACAAGCAAAGAGTAGATGAGTGTAGATCTCGGTGGTCGCCGTATCATTAAAAAAGAACTGCAGGTTAATCAAAGAATAATGGGAAGACACATGGTGGCAGGAGAAGGCAAGAGGAAGTATGCGTCACGGCTGCCAGTGATGGACAAGGCTCTGTGCGTAAGCAGGTGGGCAGGGAGGGGGGGCACCGAGATGGACAGCATGGCAGCCACCGCACTGGTGCCACAACATATTCAAGACCTTTGAGGGAGGATTCCAACATATTGGATCAATTCCCTTTAGGGGATTTACGGAAGGCAGACATGGCATGGCAATAATCATACCAATGAGAAAGAACAAATGAGCTTAAGAGTATTCAAAATATCAAAGGCATCTTAAAATTACTGGGCACAGAAAGAGAAGGAAACAACCAAAGAAAATCGCTAATAGGAAGACCACAACAATATGTGTCTAATAATTCTAAAGTAGTATAAAACATTCAGTCACAAACTATTAAATGAGTGGAACAACTGGAAATAAATCACGCTGTAGGTATTTCTGCTTTGGAGTTTATTTAACGAGTAAGGCAGAGTGTGCTTATTACCATAGTACAAAGACTCTGAGGGTTATTACATTGAATGACAAAACTCCCTAGCACCTTTAAGAGAAAACGTATTAATTTTAGAAACTTATCAAGAACAAAACTATTGTGTAAAGCCAAGAATGCCTACACAATGACATGCTGTAAAGTGGGGAAAGAACCAATCTGATAAACAATTACTCAAGGTTTATTTCTGGCCCTATAATAAAAGTACATTTTGTAAGTCATCATCAATCTTCATAAAAGAGAAAATAGGCTCAACATCTGGGAAGTGATATACTGTTATCTTTTCAACTAAAAAAGTTAAATTAGCCTTCTTATAGGGCAAGCAACCTCAGAATCAATACATAGCTAAATCATGCAGCCAGCTGCACAAATTTATTTAAGGAAAACTCAAATGGTTAACATAAAACAAACTAATAACAATAACTAACATTTACATAGCACCTCCCACGTACCAAGCACAGTACTCAGCATGTAACAAATATTATCTCATATGATCCTCACAACAACCCTGAGGTGCTCTCCTTATCTCCACTTTACAGTTGAAGAAACAGAGGCAAACAGAGATGAAGTGACCTGCACAGTTAGTAAGTGCCTGTGGCTGAATTTGAAACCCAAGTCTTCCTGACAAAGACCAGAGCTCTATTCACTATGCTATGCAAGTAATGTAATTAAACCTAGCTGCCAAAATGAAAGATGGTTAGGAGACAGCATTACAGAGAACGGGGATCAAACCTACAAGTACTGAAGGGTTAGATGAATAACCCAGGCAAGCTTGAAATCCTCTAGTGAACAGGGAAGTTACTACCTCACGAGGCAGCTCACTCCATTTTAAATGAACATAACTGTTAGGAAGTTCTTCCTTTTACTACAGAGCTGAAATCCCTCTTTTTAACTTCCACCCACTGTCTCTCTTCCAGATGACAGCCTTTCAAATATTTGAAGATGACCATCCTAATCCCCTTAAGCGTCTTCCTAAGACCACGTGTCCCCAGGTCCTTTGTCTTTCCTATTATATGCTCGTGAGTCCTGACATCGTCCTGCTCACCCTCCTTGTCACCTACTTTAGTTGGTCTCATCACTGTGAAAGTACTAAGCACAGCCGGGAAGCCACAGTCTAATCAGGGTCCCATACACTGTGATTCCTAATTTGGGGGCCTATACAGCACTATTTTTGTTGGTTGCCACGTGACCCTGCAGACCCTACCCAAAATCCTCCTGTTCGGCATCAACTGCTCTCAAATAGGGTCTCTCTTATGCTTCACCTGGGCACTTGAGTCTTTGAACATTCCTCAATGCCCTGTAAAGGTGTCAGATTCAGACTTTCACATATACCCGTCAAGACCTTTTGGATTCCTTGTGCTGTCATCTGAGAGCCTCCCAAGCTTTAGGTAATGCACAGATTTTACAACTATGCTTTCTATATCTCCATCCAAGTCTTTATAAAAGTGTCCAATAAGCCAAGGTTCTTTGTCAGCCATTCTAAGAACTCTCTCCTGGGGCCAATAATCCAGCTCTCTTTTGGGTACAGTCATTCATCAGCTAATAATCTATTTAGCTATATTATCATATAACCCACATTTTGCCATCTTACCCACAAGGATATCACAAGAGACTGTCAGGTGCCTTGCTGACATTCAGACATATCACGCCTCCAGAATTTCTCTGATCTACCCAGTCTTTATCTACCAAAATGAGGATAAATCTAGGCCAGATTGCAGAGATCACGGCTTCCTTTTCTGTGTGCCCACACACTATACCGTTCGACAATTCTGACGGAGATGATAGTGATGATGATAATCGAGGAGCAGGCATTCATGACACACCTATTATGCCCCAGGCTCTGTCCAGAGTGCTGGGCTGACAAGGACAAAAGGGTAGCCCTGGTTTCAAGGATCTCACACTCTATTCAAGATAATGACATGCACCCATTTAAGTACTACAGAATCAATACAAAAGACACAAGACAGTTTAGAGAGGGCATTAGCAATTGGGCTAATCAGAAAAGGCTTCAGGGAGGAGATCCTGCTTGAGCAGTCTTGAAATGAAGGATTCTACAAGGGAGAGCGAATCCATTCCAGGCATAGGGGACCAGTGCAAAAGCATGGAGAGGGGAGGTGGAGAGCTGTGGGTGAGGGGCAAAGAGGCGGCCAGTCTGAATCGACCTGAGAGTACAAGAAGTGAAGTAATATAAAATAAGGCTCCTAGAAAAGTGGGTTGGGACCCAGTTGTAAAGATCTAAAATGCCAGCAGAGGAGCCTCTGTGTGATCTAAAGGGTAGTGACATGGTCAGACCTGTTCTTAAGGAATCAAGGCCCCTATGCTGGGCCCTGTGGATACAAGTACAAAGAAGGAAAGACCCCAACTCCTAAGGAGCTTATGTTGTCTCAAAGGAGTCAACAAGTACATATAAAAACAGGTCCAGCCTAAACAGCAAGTTAATAAGTACAAATCAACACAGAGTGGTTTGGGAGGAGGCCACAAGCAGTTGTGAGGATCAGGAAAAGGCTTCTTCCAGAAGATGACATCTGAGCTACACCTTAAAGAGGGAGACAGAAAAAATCCCAGGCAAGTCTCAAACCAAAATCAATAATCAAGTCACATGGAAAACATGCCAGCTGCACACAGATCATCAGTTCTCATACCACACATGCTTAGATGCTCAAGCAATAGGTTCAGGCCTCAGAGAAAAATCATGAAGATTCTGACAAGGCATCTTATAGGCAAAACTGCTAAGAGTGACAGAGAAATGACTCTTTTACATATTGCCATCTCAGGCCATAAAAGTTAAAGAGAAGATAGATCCATAATTCCATTTTGTGGTCTAGTCAATTAGTCAGTCCAACTCTTCATGACCCCTTTGGGGATCTTCTTGGCAAAGATACTGTTTGTCATTTCCTTCACCTGTTCATTTTACAGATGAGGAAAGTGAGATAAACAGGGTGAAGTGACTTGTCCAGGGTCACACAGCTAGTAAGTATCTGAGGTCATATTTGAACCCAAAGCCTCCAGACTCCGGGCCTGCCACTCTATCACTTAGATACCTAGCTGTCCCTACTCATAATTCTATACTTTCTTCAATGTCATAAAAGTTGAACAAACTTAAATACTCCTAATCTCATTAATCCCCAAAGAAAACAAAGGGAGAAGGAGTGGGGAGGAAAGGGAGGGGGAGGGGGAGCAGATTTAAAACTCAAATTCTTATGGAAGTGAAATGTTGACAACTAAAAATTAATTAATTACTTAAAAAAGGGGCAGCTAGGTGGCGCAGTGGATAGAGCTCTGGCCCTGAAGTCAGGAGGACCTGAGTTCAAATCTGGTCTCACACCAAACACTTGACACTTACTAGCTGTGTGACCCTGGGCAAGTCACTTAACCTCAATTGCCTAAAAAAAAAAAAAAGGAAAAAAAAAGAGGGAGACAGACTTCAGGTTATTCCAGGCATGGGGGACAGCCAGCGCAGAAGCAAAGACAGTTCTGTGTGAGGAACACAGAGAAG